ACCCTGTGTCATTTTGTGCTAGCAACTCACTGTGTACACACTGAACCTGTGCATGTTTGTGTTCCATATAGAAAACACTTGCAAGAGAGTGACTGTGGGCACTTGTGGGTATTTGTGCTGTTAAACTAAAGGAGGGTTTTAATGGTACTTCACACAGGCCCCTGATTAGCAGTCATACTAATTACTGTCAACACGCAACGGACTGTCAACACAGCACCAACACCTCGAAAACACGTTACAATTACAAACAAACGAAGCGGTATTCAACAGTAAAAAGTGTTCAAAAGGATATTTTGGCTAAACATCAACAGGTTAAACTCTGGAAAATTGCCATTTTAATTTTGCCAGAATCGAAATCAGGAGCCATGTTGCCTCTTAGGCAGCTGGGACCATACCATTACACTAGAGGGGCAGTAATATACCGTATGCTAAAGAAACATAGGACAGTCGGTCGGATCATCCACAAAATGTACAGATTTCATATTAGGAAGTGATCGTAGTCACAAATAAAAAAGACACATTCACATCACATTCACAACATGATCCAAGCAATGCACAAACCACCTGCAGCTGTCGGTGCCCTCTGTTGTTTATGGTATTACCTCCATACATGTACCTACACAAAATGGCACAGTCCAAAGGCAGGCAAGATGGTGGTGAACCGCTGCACTGCTACTTTTACTTAGTGCTAGAGATCTTTTTTTTTTCCGTGTGAAAAAACTCCATTTCGAAAATTCATTTGTGACCCCTAACTACTGGAAAGTCTCTTTTAGTCCAAGAATTACACTTCTATGCCTCTTTGTCGATAAAACTTGTATGTTCGAGGAGTTGACGGCGTGTTGACGTTACTTTCGTGTGTTGATGGTGTGTTGACGGTAATTAGTATTTATAGTAAGACCCCTGATTAGGCATGCTGCGCTAGGCCTGTACTGTATTCGACTAATGACCGGACGTTTTACTTACTGGGCAAAATGTCACAGAAAGAAGACATAAAATCAGCCAATTCATCGTTTGGAGTGTCTGTTCTGCACTTGTTGCTGCAGTGAGGATTTAACTTGTCAAAATCCCTACGCTTAGTCTTAGCATGGAGCTAGGAAGGAACCTCAGTGACTTCGAAATATCAAGTCCTTTCTTACAAGTACGTGAAGTAGCACGTATACGTACGTACGTGTA